TACTACTATACATAAAAAACTTAATACAATAACCAAAGCCACATTGTGGATTATTTTTGCTTTTACTATTCAATCGAAAATTGGGTATACATGATTTCTGTAGACGACAACTGAATAGCAAATTGATTTAGGTTATTTTGCCAGAACCTTGAATATTAACAAGTACATCATAAATAGAAAACCTAAGGCCAAGCCAAAATAAGAAAGATCTAAAGTGCCCAAGATTTCATTCAAATGTTGTAGCATTCATTAATTTTGTTTTTATATGTTGATTTCTTGAAAAATTAATATTCTTCTAAATTATTGTCTTGATGATTAATATAATTGACTTCAAAAAACTATATTTTCAATAATAATCGTGTGATATCTCAATCTCTTAAGAATAGAGTTAAATTAATGCATTCTTCGAAAAATTTATTATGGGAGTCAAGTGAGATAATGACAATTCATGTATTAACTAACCTTTGCTTTGATTTTAGAAGATATGCTGAGTAGTGCAAATTGATAAATATTTCTTGATTTTCTTGTAGCATTTTCACTAGTTGCAAAATTATTGATATGTACACAATTGGCTTCTCTTAGTCACATGGTCCTTATACTATCATTTTTGTCGTAAGAAAATAAAAAATAATAATAAGAGAGTAATATTCACATAACAAATCTTTGACATAAAATACTCCTCAATTTTTCTTTCATTTTATATCGGTAAAATTTCGTTATTTTTTTAATGCTAAGACAATCGAGTATGCATTTTACTCTTTTCGAAATTGGACTCTTGAATCAATTTAAGGAAGATCACTATAAAATCCTCGAATTCCACTATATATTTAATAGAATACTTCACAATATGGTTAGTTTTGTTTTTGTTTATAAATTTTGCTTTTCGTAATTTTCTTAATTATTCCAAGTCGAGAAAGATAAACAATAAGAAGCTCACATTACTCATTGCTTGACACTGTTAAAAATATTGATCGACTACGAAAATAATTATATGGTATCGTGAGAAAAAAAAATAAATGGTTTCATCATTTTTTTTGTTTCATTGGAATTCGCTTTATGTTGAAATATAATTTTCAAGTATGAATTAGGTATTGATGTGAAATCTTTTATACATCTTAAAGCTTGGTAAAAATATATAAAACAATTTCCTCTTCTTCCATCTGATTGAATTGAGCTCGTACCATATCAGGAAGTCTACATAACGATATTTTTTTCTTATATTTCTATTAGATAAATCTACTGCAAAATATTTAGATATATTTTTAACTGTAGCTTGACACCACTTTGATAAAAACTTCATTAGCAGAACCATATTTAGTGTTATCAAGAATAATTCTGTATCTTTATTCTTTACTTAGAGTATTTAAAAAACTTGATTGAAAAATATTGATCAATTATTCATCGGTCTTAATTATTCTTTTATATAAATATAATTATTGTTTATTATCAATTTCGTTAACTAGTGACCTATCCTCTATCAAACAACAAATTACTTCCTTTGTCTATTTTATTCGTCTTATTTTTAGTACCATTGGGTTGTTATTTATATATTCTATTTTTATCTCAACGACGATATCGTGTAGTATTTTCTTGTACATGTGCATGACAGCTAGTTTTACAATAAAACTAAATTAGATTTAAAAAATTGTTATTTCTGAACTGCAGACTCATTTTTCCATCATTATTCATTTTATTTCTTTTGAAGAATATAAAATGTTTCTGATGATCATCAAGAATTTATTTGTTTTTTTTTATAATGAACGACTTCAATATACATAGAAACCTTTCATTGCATTAGTCGCAATGATTATTAATTTGAGTTTGACAACAAAAGCAACTTTCTATTGTACTCGATCGCATAGAGATCCTACTGCAACAATACTTACACTTTGAAAGATCAAATCTTCATGAAATTTTTTACCAATAATGTTTGATAATACTTTGTCTTTCATCAAAATTTACTTTTGTTTATGTTAGTATATTCTTAAGAAACATAGCGAGAGCTCATATATATATGTAAATCTTATAGTTTTTTGGTATTGATTACATTAGTATGACTTGTGTTACGAGTATATACTCTTATTTTTAAAACTTGAAAACAGATTATTGATTCTTTGTTGACTCATGATAATTTTATATCTAAGCAACAATATCGCTTGGTCACTATCTTTCTGAATGTGACCGAAAGTATATGTGAAGTTGAACACTCAAAACATAAATGTGACCATCAATGACATATACAAATATTTGAACAACTATTTGACTATGTTATTTTAATCGTAATCTTAATGGATTTGTATTTTTATAACACTCGAACACTTGATATTTTCAATTAGCCAGTGGATCGTTTAATAGTTGAACAATCATGGATTACATTATGTTCTATACTTTAGAACAAATTATTTACTTACATTCATTGTATAATGTAAGCAATAATGGATACTGTAAGTAGGACCGTCATAGGATATTAATTTATCCAAACAATGATGACATGATTAATGTTTATTAATAAAAAACAGTTTTAGTTCTTGTAGCCGATGCTGTTCAACAGAAACTTATAATAAAGCTGACTTTATTGTAGATTTAATCGGAAATATCTTAAATCTTATATCATGTAATTAAAATAATCATCATTGTAGTTAATTCGAAACTACAATTCTTTTTTTCTTTGCTATTTATGACTTATTCTTTTAAGTAAGAATTTCTGCTGTTTATAGTCGTCATACGTTTTATTTTAATTTATTTATAAATACGTAGTCAGAATAGAAAAAAAATGAAGTATATTCAATTGTTATAAGTGTGTTCTTTTCAAAATATTTAAATAAAACATTTTTATTCAACATAAGTGTCTTGTTCCATGATAAAGTTTGTAAATTTTCTAATGATAAATTACCAATGAATTTTATTTTATTTTTTGTTTTGTTCATATATTTTCATCTAAGGTATAATTTTATTTTTAACCAAAACCAAAAAGTCTTTCAAATTGGTCTCTCATGCCAAATTCAACATGATGACATTGAAGTATGAAATTTTATTGATATCTTGTTCTTTTTCTTGTTGAAATAATTTTTGACGTAGATTTGTAAAGAAGCTACCCAAAATTGTAGATGTCAGTCATAATCGCTTCATCTTAATAATAAATTAGGGTTTCAATGAAAGAAAGAAAAACAAGACAACATTGAATGAATGAAATAAGATGTCCTCCTCTCTACTGTTTATATCAACAATAATGGAGACAAAAAAAAATAATGTTGTAAACATCGTTTAATTCAATAAATATGGCTTGGTCTTACTTAAAAAAACATTCACGAATATTAATTCTTACTATATCATCAACGGTCGCTGTAGCAGGATGTATATGGAGAGCAATAAAACGGTATCCATCAACAATTATCATGGTTCCAACAGATGAAAATCAATTTATAATTGATGAATGTCCATCATTTAAAGAATATCGTCCAACACCATGGATATTTAATGGTCATTTTATGACAGTATTTGGTGTTATTTTTCGTCCATTACCTAATTTATTATTTCAACGTATTCTTCTTCCAGTTGATGATACTGGTGGAACAATTGCTATTGATTGGCATACACAACCGTATGAAGGACAACCAATTTTATTAATTCTTCATGGTTTAACAGGTGGTTCTGATAATGAATATATTCGTTGGATGACTTTATCAGCTTATTCAAATCTTAACATGTGTTGTGTAGTTGTACATGCACGTGGATGTGGTCGATCACAATTAACATCACCAAGATCATTTTGTGCTGCTGATACAAATGATTTACGTGTATCAGTTAAATATATACGTTCAATTGTTGGAAATCAAACACCTTTATTTGCTGTTGGTTATTCTCTTGGTGCTGGTATATTAACAAAATATATTGGCGAAGAAAGTAATGCTTGTCCATTAGATGGTGCAGTTGTTTGTTGTGCTAGTTTTGATATGCATTTATCAACAGCAAATATGGAACAACTGTTATATACATACACATATAATCGTCGTTTAACGAACAATCTCATACGATATATACGACAACATGAACATCATTTTCTTAAATCTAAATCATTACCAAATCTTAATATGAATCAAGCATATCAATCTAAAACAATACGTGATTTTGATAAACATGTTGTTGTACCACAATATGGTTTTCGTGATGTTGAACATTATTATAGTGAAGCATCATCTAAGATATGGTTAAAATATATACGAACTCCAACGCTTATATTAAGTGCTATTGATGATCCAATATGTCCGATAGATGGTTTACCTGTTGAGGATGTTTTAAATAATCCATATTTAATTGCGATTAAAACATTAGAAGGTGGTCATGTTAGTTATTTACAAGGCTGGTGGCCACGAACATATTCTTATGATAATGTTGTGGTTGTTGATTATATTAAAGCAAGACTTAAACAAATGAATTATCAATGGGAACAAAGAAATCATGATCAAAAATTAATTGATATTCATTTGATATCATAATAACAAATTTTTATATTTTAAAAAATCTTTTTTGTTTATTCTATATTTATTTAATTGTATATTTCTAGGAAATCAGCAATAATATACAAAAAAAAAAGAAAAAGAAAGAAGGCATTTCCATATGATATAATAATCATATATGATTGGAAAAAAAGATAACACATATTGTAGATGAATAGTAAAACACGTAGTTAAAGAAATTAATTTCAATTTCATTTTTCGCTTTAAGCATTAAATAGCTAGTCTCAACGAGATTCAAACATCCTGATATTTGCATATATGATCTTACGGTAAATAATAAAATATATATACAACTAAGAAATAAACAACAACAACAACAACAACAACAGTAAATTTGATAAATGTTTTGATTTTCGTGATTGGACATAGAAAGAAAAGAAAACAAAGCGAAGCTAATTGAGCAAACAAAAACGAAAAAAGAGAAGAAAAGACAAGCATGGGGTACATTGAGTTTATATATGTATATATTCCTCTATTTTCTGTTTAATAGCAACTATCTTCACTAGTCCTTGAAGTAAGTGATACTTGAGAATTTGCATGTTCTTTTCTAGCAAAATTTTCTTCTTCAGCACGTCGTCTTATTTCTTTTTCATATAAATTTGAATTAGAACCATGTAAAAGACCACGTTCTTCTTCTTCAGCACGTCGTTCTTGCCGTCGAATACTTTGTTCTACTGATGAAACCGATGAACGATGTGGTAATATATTACTACCACTGTTATTTGTTGATTTTATATAACGTGGTGTTATAGGTTTTAAATCTAAATCATGTAAATCATCATCTTTTTCTGCTTCAACAGCTCGTTCATCAGGATTCATAACTGAATCTGTTGTTGTTATATATGTTGGAGTTGGTGAACGTTGATTAATTGATATTTGTTGTGATGGTGATGAAACTAATGAACCACGTAATGTATCAATTGATGTATCATCAGCCATTGGTGATAATGGTAGTGCATTAGGTGAATTATTTTTATTAATTTTTTGTTCTAGCATTGAACCAAGTGAAAATGTACTGCTAATGTTATCACTTACAGGTATTCCATTTGCAGTTATAGAATTATTATTTGTTAAAGGATTTATTCCACCATTTAGTGACAGCAAAGCAATGCTTTCATCTTTATTTTTATGTTGATCCACAATAAAATCAGGAAGATTTTTTAAACGTTTTTCTTCTTGTTTTTCCCAACTTTTTCGTTTTATACATTTTAATATGAAAATAAGAAATAATATTGATATAACACATAAGGCTATTAAAAGAAATAAACCAATTAGAAAAATGTATTTATATTGTAGAAGATAAGATAATGGAGTAAATAAATCATTAATAGGAACTGATGATGAATTTAGCAATAATGTACTGTTTGTTGTTACAATTGTTGTTGTTAGAGGTATATGATATAGCGGAGATACGGTACGTGTTCGATTCTTTTTTCGATTTCGACGCTGATAAATACGTCGAGTTGACGTATTTGTTGACGACAAATCGATACTATTCATATTTTATGATTCATCTAAAAATCAATAAATAAATTTTAATATGTTTGATAAAAATAGAGTATGCATATATATATGTGATAAACTCAACTATCATTAGCCAGCTTATCAATTTGTTTATCTATCAAGTTGTCTGTCTGACTGTTGTATTGATTAGCTAGTCATACATACCTATATATTGCTTGGGGAGGAGAGAGTAATTATATTATATGATGCATATAGAATGGAGTTAAAAAAACAACAAATAATATATATTACGTGTTTGTAAAGAATTCGAAGGGCAAGGAAACTTGAGAATATATTTCATCGAGTATTTCTATTTTCTCATTCTCTTAGGTATCAATGCACAATATGAATATAATACAGATAGACAATGAAGATCATATTTCAGCATCACCATCTTGATCACTGATAGTCCTTTTTTTCTTTGTTCGCATACTATAAAAAGAAATAAACACACAATATAGCATTATATGGATGGAACAACGAAATCGGTTTAAACAGTAACCAAAACTTTAATCATCATCATCATCATCATTGGTTCTATTTCATTATCATCATTGGTTCTATTTCATTATCATCAAGTGATAATATTAAATTACCTTTCTAATTAATGACATCATTGCGTCCTGAACGCTATTCAAGAATTTCTATTAGAAATTCATCATGATTTTCTAAATCAGTGAAATCTAATTATTTTATCATTAACAATATTATCATTAAATAATGAAATTTGTTCGTAAAACTTTACTATGTAAAATTTTAATTATAAATGATGCATGATCATTATTTAATTTTAAAAAATTTGTTTCGAAGTGTTTTCTCACTGAAATATTTATCAATAATTTTACACACTTGAAATATCTTCATATTCACTATGACCTTGAATAAATTAAAAAGAAAAAAAAAAGATTTAAAATCAAAAGAAAAAAAAAACTAATTACCATTAGTAAGCTATTTTCGGCGTTTTTCAATAGTGTTCAAACTTCTAAAACAGTAAATTTCCCTTATAAAATATCCAAGTTCACAAAATAATTCTATAGAAATAGTATATCAATTGGAAAATTCGGAAATTACCATTAAAGCTATGGAACTTCCGAAATACATCACTTTTCAGAAAACTTCAAGAAATTTTTGAAATATATTATCTGAATATACATGATTAGTGATATGATGAAAAGAAGAGTCTCTCGCTCGAATTAGTAGAAATTTATCAGTAATTTTCAAAATATTCCTTATGTCACAGGATAGGATTTTCATTTTAGCATATGATCTATGATGATATAATCACTCAGAGTAATTTCAAAATTTCTCGATAATTCTCCTAGGAGTTTTAGGTTTTTGTTTTCAATGGATTATGATACTACAATGTAAATTACTACAGAGAGAAAAATTTGCTTTCGGCGGAAATCTGAACATACCTCACATTTTTAATGACCTTGTTTTATTGATTTAAATCTTTGAGCATGCATTTTTTCAACGTAATTTTTATGTAATTTTTTTAAAATGATTTAATTCTATATCAATGTAATTAAGTTTATAATTTTGATAGATTTTCTTTGTAAAATAATAATCGTTTGTCATTCAACAAATTGCGTAGTTTTCATTCATTTTGTTTTGAATAGATGTTCCATCATAATACAAACCAAAGCCTGATATTCTACATTCGTTTATGTTACAAATATTTGATATGATAAAGAGTACGAAAGAAAAACAAACATGCTAATGAATAATAAGACACAATGAATCAAATACTTGTTACTTTACGAACTGTCATTGGATCAGACCAACCATTTTTAAAGCTTATTGTTTAGATATTACAGTTGATTGGCACTATCAACTAGTGTCATCTATAGATGTTGTAATTTCAAAGAAATTAATTAGCAAAATGTATAAGATTGATGTCTTCGATCTGTATGTATTGCGTGGCATCAACTATTTCTAATAAATTTAATGTATTATAATGAATTCTGATAGATCTTTTCTGCTACATCAATTACAATTTTCTTTTTCTTTTTTTTTTTACAAATGATTTTGACTGAAGAGATAGGGTTATTCTTTCGGAAGTGTATGAGAGTTGACATTCATTTCATCCGAAGTACATCAAACTTTCAGATGTAATATAGCTCAATGCTCTGATGCGACATATTATGTTCAAAAAGTTTTTAAAATGATGCCTTGATGGCTTCTGATTTTTGATTGTAGAAGGTCTCATAACTAACATTCGGTCTCTGGAATTTTCTTATTTTAAATAATACGATAGTGAGACTTTGAGAATAGATATTAGTCAATAACATAGTCATTTTATGTACTAAAATTTTTTTTTCTCCTATTTTGCTTGTGGATAGAAAAGTTGTACAAAAAACTCGATTTTTTTTTATCATCAGTATTATATGTGTTAGAATCGTCTTTGCACGTTCTTTTCAACTATCGAATTTTTATAGGTGTAAAACTCCAGAGTTGACTATTGAGAGCAAGGCTTCGAATGGAATTCGAAAACAAAATGTTTTCGTACACTTTGTTTAATTTAGTAAAATGCATGTGTACACTTAGCTTTCACGAGCAAAGGGTAGCAAAGTGTATAGATTGAAGTTTGTCATATAATCTAGAAAAAATAAACTTGTTCATTTTTATATCTGTTCAGAAATATAAAACAAATGTGCAAGATTAAATAAACAACGCATATACATATAATTATTACTTAATCTGACATTAGTAAGAACATATTTGCGAAAAAAATGTACATATGAACATTCTACTTTAGCAAAAATCAATCAAAAGTTTGATCTTCATCTTCTTCATGATGCATATCTACATGATCATCACAGAACCATATTGAATCAATATTTATACCAAATTTGATTCTACAATAATTATCTTCATTGGAACTTCTAATGAAGATAATGATGAACCACATTCTGATTCTACTGAAGACGAAGATGAATCACGTTCTGTCACTGAAACTCCATTTTTACTAAACTATTCAAGTAGTGTTACTTGAGTTTTACTCATCGGAAACCAAAAAGAATAAAAAATTTCATTCTTGATGTAATGAAAATATTGAATTAACAAACAATCTATCTGTATCTTGAAAAAAGAATAGAAAAAAAGAATGTCATCAGAAAAAAGAAAAAGAAAGATTAAACGATAGTACAATTCTTCAAAAGAGGTCGTGTTGTACATTTTATTCTTCACTGACATTAATATGAGGTTATATCCAAACAAATTTTTCGATAAAAAACAAAATGTTGATTTCGTAAACACAGTGTATTCAGTAGACGCTGCTTTTATCAACAGTATGTAAAATAGCGTGTATTTTGCATTTAGTAAGGGTTTCGTACATTTGAATTCTGCAATGTACACTTGCTATTCGGAATCTTGATTGAGAGCCGATCTTGGTTTTTACCTGAACTTCTTAACTTTGTATTGAGAAAGCTGAGAATGACAGTGAGAAGAATAGTAATTATTAATAATCTATTCATACAAATTTGTCAAAAAAAGAAATGATATTTCAGCATTAGGCAAGCAGTGTTACCATTGATAATTTTTTTTAGAAGAAATGCCGCTAACTTTTTTTGCAAAAATTTTAAGTTTCCTGGTCACTTTTGTAATAGCCTGTTAAAGAGTCCTAATATGAAATTTTCCTCTCACTACACTCCCTAATGTTCTCACCAGAGAATTCAGAAGTTCAGCTAGAAATTAAACTTAACTTTCAAAATTTTGTCATATTCAGCGACCGGCTTCAGCTTGACATCCTTGAAAACTTCATATATAGATAGAACGACCAAAGATGATTCTAACACATATGATACTGATAAATAAATTATGTTCATCATGTGAGACATTCGATAAGTATCTGCTTCCGAAGTCTCAGTCTTCTTTCATTTAAAAAAAAATTCTAGACATCGAATTGCGCATGGATTGCCTAATGCGAGTTCGAATATAAATGATACTTCAACTGCGTAAAATCACTTGGATAAACGGAGAAAAAAATATTAACAACCCTAAGTATAACAAAAGCAAAAGATAAAACTGTATCTGAATTATGATGTATTATTTCAAATAAGGCTGTCATATAACTAATGACAATAATGAAAAAAATAAAACTTTATCTACACTATAATTTATATTTCAAGCAAAGGTGTTATATAACTGTCGAAAAAAAGCAAAAGATGAAGTTTTTATCTAAATTATAATATAGCTCGAATGGAGACTGTCCCATTAGAGTCCTCAAACGCCAAAAATAATATTTCTAACTTACTTATAAACTATCCTCAGTAATGTTTTAAGGTGACAGATTGATATTTGCAAGCTTCTAATCATTTACTTAGCTCAGCAGAAAACAAATATTTAATTTGTGTTGTTGAAGAACTTCTTTTGGATATGTAAACGACTGCTTATGTTCATGTCGCGATGTGGGGGCGCGTAGTGCTCCTTGGAGAGTCACGACCCATGCTCTTGTCAGTGTACAACGTGATGCAAAGTTCTATGCGACATCTTGAAAAATTTTTTAAAGTAGGACAGCCCATATCTATACATGTAAGTCACGAAGACTTCGCACACGCTTTACATTTCTGTCAGTTTTCAATTATTTATCACAAAAGCTCTGTGAGGAGATCTTAAGAAGGCCCAGATTGGATTCAGACACAACCCTGTTATGTCAGCAGAAGATCTTGGGAAACCTCTAGAGAATCTTTGGGAATCATTGCGAGATACTTTCTAAATCTACAGAGAACATCTTTGGATCTCTAAGAATTCCTGCCAAATGTTTAGGAGATTCTCAAGGATGACAAGAAAATCCTGTAGGATGTCTACGGAACCCCGTTGGATGTCTCAGAAATGCTGCAAGATTTCAATGGAATTCTCAGAATGTTTAGATCATATAATGCCTTATACGAGTTTCCAAGCAATCAAATGATTTTCCTAAAACAACACAACTTTCGGAAAGTAGTGGACTTTCTCGTAAAGAATTGGCTTCGAAAGCTGAAGTTTTCTGCATGGCCGATATATGTAAAATTGCCGTCGTCATCAACGAGAGTCCCAAGAAACATGAAAACTACGACAATACGCAGACGTGCCATCGCACCTGACGTGACTACAGTGGAGTGAATACTTGACCACTCAAAAATAAGTTTAAATCTTGTAATGGATTCACGCCTTATACATTACTGATTCTCACAGGATAGACCCTATTCGAATTATAATTACAATTTAGATCAAATTTTAATTTTTTCCCGTGTTGCACAGGTGCTTGTGTGATTTCGAAGTTGTCGCTGATATTCGAACTCGATTTAGGCAATCACTAGGTTTTCGATCCGAAAAGCTTTTAGGATCTGGAGTCGAAAGGCATCCAGATATCGTTTAAAAAATTTTTGAAGGCAATTTCTGGTGTGAATATATTAAGTCCAACTTCTGGAAATTTGAAATATTTCGGATGAAGTTGATGTCATCGTGGTATGTTTCCCAAAGAATCGACCAATAGAAAATTATTTGAGAATATATTTTGACTTGGTAAGCATTTAAAATTTATTATTCATTTGTCACGAGATGCTTATTAGGATTTATTGAAATCACTGGTTTCATTTATTGACAGCATATAACTTATTATAACTGTAACAAAAGAGAATCATTCTTCTCAATAGCTAATCCTCATCGCTGTGTAGCATTTCAATTCCTGAGTTTCGCCAATCTTTTCATTGTTAAAAGTGTGATGGAAATTTGGAACTGTTAGTATTCAAGTAGCGAAATTCCAGTTTATCGTTCTGTTCCTAGTTTCTTCTGTTTGACGGTAGAATGAAGACCAAGATTTTAGAAAATTTTTCAAAATAAAAAAATAATAGTCGTACAAGGTCACACGATGTTCGAAGGCATATCTTTGCACTGGTTAATATGAAAAAAGCTATATATTTCGTTGATATCTTTTTCTTTCTCAGACAAATTTGAAGTATATGTTAATCGAAATTTAGCTAAAGTTATTCTTTTGAATTGGTAGATTTGACTTTCAAAAGACAAACATCATCCTAAACGAACATCACAGAGTGAAAAACATATTATTTACATTAGTTGTTTTTCTTTATTATAAACATGTTAAGAAAAAAAAGAAGGCAAACAATGAAAATGAAATTTCTATTTACATATGTTTAATACTTTTCTTTTTATTCTTGATCTGTTCTATGAGTAACATTTCGTTCGTTTAATGTTATAACATCAGCATCAGTATAAACTTGGCGATAAAATCTTGAACGCATTCCTTTTAATTTTCGATCGATTAATTTAAGTATTGCTAACAAACTTAACATAAATATTATTAAAATAAAAAATGCTTGAAAAAATGATGAATGTGATGATAAATACAATCTTGTTTGATTTTCATTATTGTCATCTTCACATTGTAAATCAAATAATGATATTCGACAATCAATACGTAATAATTTTTGTAATGGTTCATAAAAATCTAGCAATGGTGGTGGAGGTGTTTGTAACCAATGTATAAATGGTCCTAACGTACAATCACATTTGAGATGATTATTTAAATAAAAATCAATTGTTAATAAATGATAATAATCATTTAAACGAGCTCCATAATCAATTTGTTCAATTGACATATTACGTAAAGAAAGATGTGTTAAATATTGATGCCAAGGATAAAATATATTCCAATTAAGTGTACGATGTTCTTTTAATAAACGATTATTATTAAGTATTAACGTATGAATCTTTGATAGATTATGAAGATAAATAAGATATTCAAATGAATCGAATCGAATTGATGTTAAATCAAGATATTGTAATGATGGTAAATCAATATTAAATTTTGTTTTATTTAATGATAATTTTGAATTGTTAGTTAATAAAAGTGTATATATTGTTTCACCATGTAAATTAATTGATTCAAGTTTATTGTTTGATAAATCAATTGTATGTGGTGATTCATTATCCCAATTAATTTGAATAAATTCCATTTCATTTGATGACATATTTAATAAATTCATTGAAGATAAATCATACATACCATGATGATAATGTATTTGATCAATATCAATTATTTTTAAACGATTATAACTAACATCTAATGTATTAAATGTTAAATATTTTAAAAAATCAAGTGTTTCTAAACGACTATAACTCATGTCAATTACATCGATATGTAAAAATCTCAATTTAGTATTATGAAAATCAATTGAAAATTCATTTAATGCTGTATGTGATAGGATTAAACGTTGTAAATGAGTATAATTCGACATAAGACGTAAAATAACTTGATTCAAATAAATATTATCACTAAAATCAATGTATGATAAATGATCATAAACATTTAAATAAATATAATCAATATCATAATTTGATTTTGCTTGAATACTTTCCAGATTTGTACTAAATAAAAGATCATTTGTTGTTATTGAATCAACTAAATTTTGATCATTTAATATTAAATTTTTAATACATTTTATATATGGATTAAATAACTTTATTGAATTTATATTTGATCTTGTTAAATCGATTGTTAATTTATTATTATTATTATTTAATTGTGAACAATTTGAAATAAATTTTTCATATTCCCATGTTGGAATAGTTCGACAATGTTGACAAATAAATGTTTGTAAATATGGTAATAATGTTATACTAAATAATTGTTTAATTAATGTTGATGATAAATCAAGTGTAATAAGAGATTGAAATTGATTAAGTTTATCTATAATTGATTCTAATGGATTATACGATAAAATTAATGTTTCAAGTGTATTTAAACTATTTCCAATTAAATTATCGAGTGATTTAAGTTCATTATGTGATAAATTAAGATGTTTAAGTTTAGGATAAAATTGATGATCAAATACAAGTGTTTGGTTATCAGTTAATTGATTATATGATAAATCAAGTTTAATTAATTGAGGAAAATATGAAGCATTTAATTGAGACCATTGTATACCGCCATGTTGACCATGAATAGTAAGTGATAAAAGAAGACGAAAAAAGATTCCACCTTCAAATATTAAATTTGGTTCAATAGCAGATGAAGAAAATGTATTATTAATTAATGTTAAATTTTCTATATTTGTACCGACTTGAATTAATAAATCACGTAATGATAATTGAAAGTCTGAATCACGAATTTCAACATGATGATGTTGAAGTGTATAAACTAAATCATTGAATAACGGTATTGGATGAATAAATGTGGTATTCCAACAAAAAAATAATGCTGTACGGTCATAGATACACTGTGGAGGTATTTCATTCCAAAACGAACATTCTGTTTCTTTAAAAAATATCAAAACGAAAAAGATGAAAATTTGTTTATTTGCATACATTATATTACACTAGACACATGCATCGAAGACAAAAATCGACAGAATATACTAATAAAGAGCAGCCCAACATTTTTTCCTCCTTCTTTTTCTGTTCTTCCACTCTTCTTTCTTTTTCTAAGGTCCTTTTTATGACAACGAAAAAATAAAATAAAATAGAAGAGAAACAAAACCAATACGTATATACAAAAAAAGCTCTTTCTCTATGTAATGAATAAACGAATGTCGACATAATGCAGTGCTATGCTGCTCAAGGCTGTTTTATATTCTTTTTCACATTGCCGCTCGTTCTTATTTCAATAGCAAAAAAAAAAAGTAAATTATTGGACACTATGAGTAACGAGAACAATGTATTATCACCATAAAATAATAAAATAGAAAGGTTTCATTTTAAAAATAGTACACACACACATATATATATACATATATATATAGATATATACATATATCAATATTAACTCAAAAACTGCATCAAAAAGAAAAAGAAAGGTCAAATAAAATAGATGGACGATGTCCTTTTTCATATCATTAATTGCATCATTGCAAAAAACAATTGATTCGAACAAAATCCTTTTTGTTAATATCTTAGTATTATATGCATTAGAAACGAAGAAATTTCTAATTATTATTGTTCGGATAAAATAATACTCATAACATGCAAAGAAAAAAACAACACGACTATAAATAAGATTTGAAATAAACAAGTTTGCTTCATTTGTGTTAAAAAAGAAATTCATGGCAGAATCTCTGAAACAATTCCATCGTCCAACATCAGCTTCTACAGTTGCAACAAACTGGTCTCAAGGCACTTCAACATCAATTGGACATAATGTTTCTCATCGACATATACCCGTTATCAAGGGCGATGTAAATTTTGTGAATACAAGTAATACTACAGAAGCAACTGGTGATGATGATGCTGTTCCATCACATTATATAAAAGAAATACTTGATCGACTCTCTAAATTACCAGTCGATTCAATCGATCATGAAGATGCACTTGAATTCATCTATGATCTATTCTATATGCATTCACCATTGAATCAAGACGATTCACGTATAGCACGCGTACTTATAGAATGTGATTATTGTTCGATAGTCCATCGTTGTTTAATTGAATTTATGAAAACAGGTATATTCAGTAATGCATCAATAAGACGTTCAACACAATTTATTCTTTATACATTATGGAATTTTACTGGCATAAGTATGGAATTTCGTGTTTACGTATCAAATAATGGAACTTTTGTTAAATTTTTATTAATAAATGTTTTAGAATATTTAAAAAATTTAAAAACTGAACAAAATTTAGCAACAATTAAAGATAATTTAATTCAATCAATCATTAGTATAATACATAATTTATCAATAAATATAAATCATTTAAATATTGAACAAACCTTTCATATAATTAATCAACTTCTTTTTGAACAAAAACCAATTAAAAGTACGGAACGTTTTCGTGTAACATTACTTCTTTGTTTAATTAATCTTAATGGTAAACAAGTTTATGAAAATATAAATATATATCAATCAACATTTAAGTTACTTTTTTATTTTTTAAAAAAAATTGTACAACATGAAATTCTTATGATAAGTACAGGTTTATCAGCATGGGTTATAGCATATGCTATTAATAAAATGCCAATTGATATTGTACTTACAGATGATAATCGTCTTTATTCATTCATGATTTTATTTAAACGTGGAATGCGAGAGGAAAAATTACAAGCTGGTTTCACATTAAATCGTTGTATTCAAAAATCAACACATGCAAAAGAAATTATAGAAAAAGATGGAACATGCTGGAATTTATTTCAACAATTTAAAGTTTTTCTTCATGAAGAACAGAATATCTAACTAATTATCGCTATACACTGATGAACTATAATTATCATGATCGGATATTGTACTTAATGGATGATGTACATGATTATAAATCATGTCATTTGATGTTGTTGTTCGAATATCACTTGTACTACTATTATAACTATTTGATCTAAGTCGAGGATTTTCTCTTTTAGGCAACGATGATAATCCAGATAAACTTTCTTCATCTTCATAAGCAAGAAAACTAAGTCGTTGATCAGGATTAAAAAGAAAAAGTAGATCACCATTTTGCACACCATATGAAGCTAATGTTCGTTGAGGTCTTAAACGTTTATCACCACATTCTAGTACAAGTTGATTTGTCATTGATGACAATTGTTCACGTTCCGCTATACGTTGTATAAGTGTTTCACATGCATCTCGAACATAATTACCCACAGGCATTTCAATTGTTAAACGTTTTACTTGAGAATTAGTTGGAGTTATTTTACGTACAGCTACATAAAATTGTATTAGTTTACCACTAAAAAAAAATTCAAAAAATAGAACAAGTTCTAAGAATAATAATTATGAAACAATATACTTCAATATTTTTGACCGTTTAGAACATTCATCTTGGTTATGTGAATCTAAATAACAGATTTCTTTTTTTCTTAATCATATAGCTATTTCAGTTCATACCGTATCGATGTGCTCGTAAACATCTATCGCATACCATGAAATTACAATGACGACATAGACGTAAGGGTGCAAATGTCTCACATGTTGTACATTTAGCCGTCGCCCCAGTATTCAACGAAAGATTGCCTGATGTCATTAGTCTTGAACCTGTTGACATAGCTTGTTCATCAAGAAGATTACGAACAACAAAATTAGGTGGGAAAACACCATCTTCAGGAACTAAATGTTGTTTTCGACATTCTGGACAACTTTAATCGAAAAGAAAAAAATTGATGATTAGATTGTTCATTTTTTTTTCATTTCATTGAGACATCTTACGTCACGACATCATTATTATTTTGCATTAAACGATTGAGACATTCATCACAATAAGTATGACCACATGGAAGAAGACGAGGTTCAGTATATGGTGTCAAACAAACAGGACACTGAAGTAATTCTTGTAAACGTTGACTACGTTGTGATGATGGTCTAAAAACACAAAGTTAACTATGTATCTGTCAAACTTTAAGTTTTTTTTTAAACTAAAACAAGGTCATTGCTATATTAATCCAAAATTAATCTTTTTATTCTGTAAAATGTCAAGGAATTTTGTCGGTTAGTTCTATTTCTATAAATATTGAATTATGTAATGAAAGTAAATTTGAAACGTGCCTTTATAGAAATATAACAACTCTACTACCTTCTTCGACGACTTGATGGTCGTCGTTTAAAATTAGTTGAAGCAGCTATTCGAGTTGATCTTTCACGTTCAGTAATTGGCGCTGGTACAACAATTGGTCTTCGATTTACACCAAATGGTGCATTTATTGCGTGTGCTCTACCTGTAGCACATCTTCTAGGAATATCTGGTACAATAGGTGTTTTCAACGAATGTACGGCTCCTCGATGACTTCTTCTACCACGATTTATGATTGATGGAGGTGGTGGTGGTGGTCTTCGTCGTCTTCTTGGTTTTATAGGAACATCTGGAATATATGGTGGACCAATAACATTGTCATCAGGAGGTGCATCGCCAAATAATTGATCAATTGTTGTATCCCATTGTGGAGGATTAGGTGCTGATGGTATTTCAGGATCATTTGCAGCATTATCAGCTTTATTATCAGAAAAACCTAATGATCGAGTCAATTTCGATACTGCTTTGCCCATCGTTTAATAATAATGCACGAAAAATAACTTATGACCGGAAGAAGGAAGCTACATATGCATGTAAATATGCGTCCTTCTTTGCATCGTCGTCATGCATCACTAATTGTTGATAGAGTGAAAGAGCGAAAAAAAGAACGCGTGAATGAATAAATGTTATTATTCGTTGTCGTTGTCGTCATCATACTGATGTAAAATAAAAGAGTAGGTCTTTTATCATACGTTAAGCTCTTCTCTTTTTCTTTTTTTTTTGTCTTAAGAATAAAGATTGCATCATGTATCAAATAGAAAACGAAAAGAATTGAATATCAAATCCTTAATCTCTTTTTCATCTACTGATCATTCAATAAAAGATTGGTATTAAACTTCACACTCACACAATACAATATAATTTTATTTTGTTTTTTTTTTCGATGATGTTGAAAGAAAAAAAAAGAATACATGAAGAGAAGAAGAAAAAAATGAACCGAAAGTGACGCAGCAAAAGAACAGAGATAAGTAAAAATAAAAATTAAAGAAAATGAAGAAGCAAAGGAAGACAAGTCAGTTAATTCAACACCGGGATTAAAATAAAATATATTGTTGTTTGTTTTGTTCGAGTTTGGTTTTCTTTTAATTCATATCCATTGCTTCAGCATTGTTATTTGTATTAAAACTAAATCCAGATGATGATTGTTGTTGTTCATGAATAACTGTATTATATAGATCTTGATATTCTTTTGAACTTTTTACAACTGCTTCAAAATCATTAATACATGCAATTTTATTAGCATCTTTTATTTGTTGTAATGCAAGAAAAACTTTAATTGCTGCGCGACGTAATTCATCATGTTTTTCAAATTCTTGTTTTATACTATTAGCTTTAACTTTTAATTGTAAAATTGCTTTTAATGGTAGAACAAGACGATCAAGTCGTTGTAATACAATTGTTGGACAAAGTATTGATAAACGTACAACCATAAGAAATGTTAACATACGTATATCATAATGATCTTGTTTAAGACCATCTTCAACATATGTTAAATAATCGAACATATCAAGTTTATCAAGACATGCTAAACAAGATGAATTATATTAGTTTAGAAATTAAATTCTAATTGTTTTATTCTATTTAGATATAATTAAATAAAAAATGTTGCATCAAAACTAAAAATAAATCTTTTAAATTTACTCTTGTTCGATTAGAGTCTACCTATATGCATCAATGTGCATTTGGCAACATATCGGAAAATTTATTTAGTCGTATTCTTTTATTTAAATATAGAATGTATTAATTTTGTAAAATAAAACTGGTCCTAGTAATTAAAATTAGGTTTATATAGGAATTTTTTTGAATGTTAAATAAATCGTTTTCTCTTTTGTTTTTTTTTCCAATGTGTGAGAATGAAAAAGAAATGTATGTCTTTTCCTTTAGGTTGATAGTAGGAGAACGTTTCCGTTTTATCTGTGAATTTTGTACTTGTTATACAGAAGAGAGAAAATAAAACTCCCTATAGTTTATTAAATTCCAACAGCGAGAATAAGAGTTGAAAAGGATCAAATAAACAAATTTTTTTTCATAAACGTAAAAATAACTATCAACTTTCTCTGTTAGTAATCAAGATATCCCATGCTTCTAAAATACTTTTTTGTTAGTACTAGAATATTCTTAGAAATATGATGTGCGAAAATTTTGAATACAATCTCATTTAGTAGCCTTATAAGACGAATATTGGATTAAAAAAACACATTATCAACATGTCTAATCTTACTAATGCCGGTGTCCTGTTTCAATGTACTCTAACCTTTTCAAAACAATCTTATGTGTATACAAGCAAAATCATTTGTTAACAACGTGACTTCACAAAATTAATACACACATATATCTTGGGATAATGAACTTTTCTAGAGACCTTTGTTCAGAGGAGTTATCAGTAAACAAATAGTATATTATGTAAACAACTGTTGAAGCTACGAAATGTCTATCAAATTTGTTTTTTTTTTCTGAGTAGGTCTAGATTTTTCGAAAAGAATCGATTTACTTTTTATTAGTACAAAAAATGCTCTTATAAACGAATGAGAAATTCAAAAAAGCAATCCTAAACGAAAGAAGTCTTTCTTCCAAATCTCTAGATGATGCTAAAATAAAAATTTCTTTTTCAGAACTTGTCAGGATATCTAGAAAATCAAGTTATGTGAAAATAGTTATTAGAATTCGATCTTGCTGAAAATTTTACTATATATGCAGGTCATGTTGTAGAATCTATTCACTAAACACTTATGAATTAATAATCTGTTGAAAGATCGAAAATTTTCACTTATGTCTATGCTAAAAGAATTTATTTAGAAAAATAAATCTTGTATAGAATCAAAGTTAAATGAAAGGTGAGTATTTCGAATTTTGCCTGAATAACCCATATATATACTATTTATGAACATCAATAAAGAACTACTACTTGAAAGAAATCTAGATAACTTTAGGTTTTCTCTCTTAATTGTATACGTACTGTCTAATAACGTGTACATGCATTCATAAGCTGCTTTACGAAGATCAAGACCATCTATAAAATAGAAAAATATTTTTATTATTATTTCAAACAAAAGTACTTCTGTAGCTTTCGAATCTTACCATCGACAGTATGTTTAAATGGACCCATTTCAACTTCTCGAATAAGTTCTGGTCGTACACGAGTTTCATTATAAAGTTTAGGTAAAAGTTCTTTAAGTAAATCACGTATTAACATTGGTTTATTATGTGCAGCTAATAGATAAAGAAATAATAAAATTAAAATCGGAAAATAAAAATTCTACATACCAGAATTAAACATAACAAGTGCAACACGTCGAACATCAATATCTTTATCTTCAAGACCATTCAAGAAATCTTTAATATAGCTTTTTAAAATTGTATCAATATGTTGTGGTTGATCAACAATAGTAAATTTAATTGCTGTTATTATCGTTGAACGTACATATGGTGATGATGATTGTTGTTTTTCTGTATGATTAATAAATGTTTCACGTAAAATAGGTAATAATTTTTCTGGTTTTAATAATGTTAATTTTCCTAAACATTCAGCAACAACATTTCTTGTACCTTCTTCAGGACATTCACAATGTGCAAATAATGTACGCCATATTGCATCAATATGTTCATCAAGTTGTGGTAAATTTTCATGACTTTGATATGCTATTATTTCACGTAATGAATGTAATAAAAGATATTGACGTTTTGTTTGACTACGTGCTATTTCATTTAATAAAAATGGAATGTGTGAATTTAAATTTCGAATACCAATATAGCCAAGTGTATATGATGCTGCTGTACGTAAATCATCAGATGGAGAAGAAAATATATCAAGTAAGATTTGTTGAAGATTTGATGATGATTGAGCTAAATCAGTATATTTACCTAAGCAAAAAAAAAATTCAATTGTTTGTTTAAACGTAAATTTAAACTTATTATTTGTTGCAATTCCGAGAAAGATTCATTGAAGGAAAAAAAATATCAAAGTAGAAAATGATCGAAAAGTAATTCTAACAGAGTTCATACAAAAGGCTAAAAGAAAAAATTTTCACGAAATTCACGGATTTTGATTATTTTTCTTTTTTTCTCTAGAGTAGAATTCTCGAGTGTTTTTGAGAGAAAGAGGAGCTAAAATTCTCTTTCTCTCATGATTCTTACCGAACTGTAGAAAAAAATCTTCAGAAAATTCGAAATTTCTAGAACAGAAAAGCTTCCGACATTCTTTTCCTAATCGGTAATCTTGCTATTGTATGATCGTAATCATCAAATAAATCTGTAGAAACTTTAATTGAATGCCTATTAAGTGTACATTTCTAATAGCACATAGTTATTACAATTTGAAACTATAGTCATCTGATAAGAGCAATAGTTATCCTTTTTCTTTTCTATGAAATAATTAGCAATGATAGCAGATGGATATCTTATGATGAAGATGAAGTAGCTGTGGCTATGATGATAATTGTATTAATCATCAGTGTTCCTATTGGTTACAGATGCAAACTGATAAAATAATTAAAAATAGAAATAATCAACTATAGACGTCTGACATATCATTTTATTTTTTCGATACGCTCTAATTTCGATACTACACCTTTTCTTATATTTATCGATACAATTGATTTCATACTTGGGTATGTATGTGTTTTTTTTTCTTGAAAAATAAACTCAATTATATGATTTTCGAAGGACTTCAGTTATTATTTATCATATTGTAAAAGACAATCCTAATAAAATTATTTTCCTTTTCTCATTATATTTTTAAAATACACAGTAGCTGAAAAGTCACTTTGCCATCAAAAAAATTTAAATATCTATTCGTTAAGTATATGAGAGTTTTGCAAACAAATTCTTATTATTTATAGTTGAAACTTTTCGGATACAATGAGTATCAAGAAATATATCTATGATGTAAACTTCACACCAAATGACTATAATAGAAAAAATTATGTAAAGTTTACTTTTTACTAAAGAAACAATTATATTACTTTTCTATATGTCCTGAACAATTATAATTCTTTATGGAAATCTAACGATAATACTTCAAAACAATGTTTATCAAGTTTTCTCTTCAATTAAACGACTTGTAATTAAATAATTTAAAATCTAAAGTTCTCTTACCAGTTTCACCAAGACAAAGTAATGCCAATATTTTAATTGAATCACTACATTTTGAATCATTTAAATCATCTTGAAATTTCTTAATAAAATAAGTACTTTCCTTTAAATTTGCAACTGTTAATGCAGCAAATGATTTTGCAATTGAATAAAAAGCTTGTCTATGAACAACTAATTGTTGTTGTTGTTGTTGTTGATGATCACTTGTATTTGTTGCTGCTGTTGCAATAGTTGTTGGTTTTTGTTGTGAATAAATTGGTTTAATTAATAATTTAACTAATTCTTCATATGATATTGATTGTGTTACAAGTGCACAAAGAAATTCAATAACAGCATCTAATGCTGTACCTTGTAATAAAGGTGATTGAATTAATTCGAGTAC